ATGATTTCATTCACCCGTATGGTTATGGTAAGATAGCTCGTCACCAAAACAAAGTATACCTTAAGCAAACTTGATGGTAATGTTAAACATTTTTCAACTTTCAGTTTACACTTTGTGCTGCGATTTGTTAAGTGATCAAGCTGTTCAAGTCGAATCACAACCATAAAACGTACGCTTTAGATGGTAATATCTTATTTTTCCTCCCATCGGACCGAAATGGGACAGAACATTATGCCGTTTTTATTGTTTGCAAGTCAATATCCTTTTACTTGTGTCTCAGCTAGTTCTACTGAAGCACACTTCGGCGCCTTTCTTGCGTAAAAATTGATAATTATTTAGTAATTAATTCTCGACAAAAAATTCGATATACAGCCCCGGAATTTAGTAACACAATTCACCAGGCCGCTGTCAATTTTCAGGCTGACTTTGGGTGAAATGCCATGGCGTTCCATCCCCAACAACAGAGCTGACATTAAAGTAAATCGCATTGAGGAAGCCCAATGTTACAGTTGATCGCGAAGGCACGCTAGCAGCCTGCTTTTGTCGATCTGTTTCAAATGGAAGGGGAGTTCAAGAACTCAGTGAAGAGTTCCAGAAAATTCGGTAGGGTAGGACATCACTGTCTTGGCTGAAGACACATTGTTCAAACTTTAGAACAAACACTGATTTACTGCCCTAACGATGTGGCTCACGCATTGATACCGCTTGATTTATCGCCAATAGACTGCCCGCACATTATGCAACAAAGACTGATAACCCCACCTCACAATGTGGAGAAATTCAAGTTTATCACTGAACAGTAGTTACGCGGCCAATAAAATTGAAAAATTGACAAAAATTAATTTTTACACTGATTGTCATACATTTTAAAGTATTAAAGTTCCTTGCAAAGAAGCATTCAATAGGATCCGGGCCGTGGTTTTGAATTAAAGTTTACAATCATTAGACTACTGAAATTTAACTGTTAATTTTTAGTTATCTAACGGAGCTGCATAAACAGAGCACTGCAGCTAGAAACCTGAAGACCATAGATATTTATCTTAATTACTTAATTAGTTTAGTTCGAATTCAGGAAGTGCGCAACCACTGTTCAATCGGGAGCAAGATCCGCGACGATCTTGCATTTCAAGATGAAAAACGGTGCGATGAAACCTGGTATAATTTACCTTCTGGTATTTTGGAAGGCAAGCTTTGTTTCGATGGTGGGGTTGTAGTTTTTCTTTGGTGTGTTTCGAACGTTTCTGGTATTAAGGTAAGGTAGCAAGAGTATGATGGAGTTGCAACGAGGTACGGCCATTCAAATATTGTATACTCATGTACGTTTATTGCTTCGATATCAGAGGAGTACGATAAGCAGATGCAATGAATGAATGCAGCAACGAAAACGGGCCAATGCGCGGTTGTGCCAGAAGAAAACTTTTTCTTTCCAACGAATCTTTCTGGCAACAGAAGTTTGTAAGCACCTTGCAGAGGAAAATTAATTTTGCAGCTGGAGCAACGTTTGCCAAATATAATAAATAATATAAATATGAGACCGGCCGAATTGGAAAGTGGAATCCTGTGTGAACTAGCCTGATTGATCGCGGCCACGGTAGAGCGGACTCTGAGGACTAAGCTCTGTATGTTATCGTGATGCTCAGATACAATCATGAGACCTGGGCTATGACGGAAAAATGTGGATCCTCGGTATAGGTGGCCAAAGAAAGACGAAACAGCAACTATCTGCTGAACCGATCGACGGAAGACCTCGGGGCGGCCAAGATTAGCCCAGAACAAGTGTATCGGAAAACATTGTGCTAAGCTCCAGTCATCTTCTGCAGAATCTCAAACACTGGTGCGGAATCAGGAACGTTGGAAAACACAGTTTGACGCTTCTCCTCCGCGGCCCGAAAAGACAAGCGGTCATCGAGTTTGATTGATTGATTTACTGACAAATTTGAAACATCATTTCAGATGCCATAGGTTTAACCAATCTAGGTGGCTCCATGGTTTGCGTTTGGTCTATCTTAGTTGATGATGACCATAAAAATGAAGAATTCTGACCTGTACAATCAGTAGTTTGATTCTCTGTGATAAAATCGTGATCTGAATCCATGTGTTTGAAATATGATCAATTCAGCACATGTATTTGACATTCTGTGTACGATATTATTACTGAGGGCAATCTAACAAAATCGGCTAGCGTTACTGATCACTGATTAATCAAGTCGAGGAGGAGTAAAGAAAAAAGATCGCCCTTGCCTCTAGTGCTTTCGGTAATCTGCCCAATATTTTCGCAGAAGTAGGAGCCATCCTTTCGGCAATACAAATGTCTGTACGCTGCCCTGATCAGGTCAGCGTCCTTGCATTATACGGGGAAAGTTTCTGCAACGAAAACCGGAGAACTACGGTTGAACGGCGCACAACAGCATTAACTTTGACTCATAAGAAGGATTGAATAGCAGGACCAAAAAAGGAATAACTCAATTAATTTTTTGGATGAAGGTGACCTCAGTGGATGCGGAGACTATGAAAAAAATGTTGACTCTGTTAGACAAAGGCGGCATAAACCATTTGCTCCAGTCGACGAACTCCTCGTGTGGGAACTGGATTACGGCAGAGGTGGTTAGGCGACCAGCATACAAGACGGAGGAACAAGACAAAGGTAAATCTACGGCTAGAGAAGAATTGTTCCTTTACAATGCATCAACCCATGCCTTATGGTCAAAGTGCTGGAAAGTTGCCAATTCAGCAAATTTACAAGCCAATGACGTTCTGATCATGGAAGCAGCTCAAGCAATCTCCACACAAACACCCAATCATTCATCTGACCAATTGTTAGACGTACACCGCGTGATGTTTCGCAGAAAGTTAGGAGATCAATGAATTTCCATGGTAGAAAGCGCGAACATTTCCAAATGCAAGTTGTCTGTAGCCTCAACTATCACTGTCGAAACTTATGGAAACTTTTTCTCAAACATTCTTCCTTGTAAATTGCTCTTTGCAAGCTTCATTTCACACGAGAAACAAATTATATTTTTCAGGACCGCTGGTTTGCTCTTCCCAACGCTTACTTCGCCGCCCATGAGGCGAAAAGTACTTAAGGTCTTAAGTCGAAACGAATGAGTCAAGTTCGCTGAATGCATCCCGTTTCAAAAACAGTAAATAATTCATACGAATGCCAAAACAAGCAACTGGCTGTATATTAACATTTGAAAAATGAAAATATACCTGTGTACTTAAGGCGGATCTACATCAGAGAAGTACATTGTGTCTAAGCGTTAGACCGGAAGGAATGGCAGCGGTTAACCGTGATTGGTCATTAATACATTTTGTGACGTTTTAATCACTCGGTTTATCAGCTTAGCAGAGGATGGAGGTTCGTAGCTGCAAGGCGTGTCTATCTGTTTCTTGCGTTTTTAAAATCACATCATATTTCACATTCTTAACGTATCTTAAAATAGAGAAATAAGCATAATTTTACGTTTTAGGCTTACCTTCAGTGTGAACAGTCTTCGCGTGGTGTTGAAAACTATGTGGTTTGTCAGATGATTTCTCACCTGAACCCTGGTCATCTATAAATCGCCTTAAGGCGATAGACGAAAGTCTCTGGTAAGAAATTCATACCAAAATCGACGTTGTTCTTCTTCCTGAATTTAACAACTGCGATTGCGTTTTCGTACACGGCTTCACTTATAGACGGCTCCGACGTCGTTTGTCTTTCGGTGGTATTTTCTGTAATGAATGTGTCGCACGTCTGACAGACTTATTTCTTACAGTATGTTTTTTAGGAACATGGTATTATAACTGTTTGCTTGAAGGGTCTGCTTCGTTACGCTCCACGAATTTTTTCTGTTCTCCACTCCTGCCGCTCGCAAAGTAATTGGACCGTCGATGGGGGAGGGCGGGCTTAAATCGCGCCCTGTGGTTCATCGAGTGTCAGTGTTGCTCAGGTTGATGCTGTACCGCATATTTCCACTCCATTCAAAGTTCAGACCTGAGTGAACTATGTCTTCAACCTTCGTCCAGCCCAAAGATTTGAAAAAAAATGGTGCACACTGAGATTTTGGTCAATAACAGATGCTATTAGCAAGTGAGAGGAAAGGGGGAGGGCAATGCCACCATCTCAGTCTATCGGAACAGACTCCTGCACCAACTTCAGACCTTCAGTTCAGCAAAGGTGTTTATTTATGGGGTGGTATAGCGGCAAACGTTGTTAGCCTGCTAAGTTGATCAGTAGCAAAGTAAGCGTGCTTCATCGCCTGAAATCTTCTGCACTCAAATCTGTCACTAGGGTGCGCGGAAGTCAAAATTTATGAGAAACCCATCCGGTACAGTTACAAGTGGAACAAAGGGACAAAACGGCAGGAGAGGTCGACTAAATTAAATGTCTCGGTTGCGCCATCTCCAAGAAGGCCCTATCCATCTAGAGTTAAATGGGCGATTCGCCTCAGTCTCGAGTGCTCTTGGCAGCCTTGAGCTATGACTCTGGAATACTAGCAAACAGTATTTAGACAATGAGATAATCCAGTTCTGTTTTCACTGATTAGCGAACCTTTCAATGACAGTTTCGCCATTAATTTTGTGCATATATTTGTCGTTATTTCGTTTGTGTACATGGTTTCGCTGTACATGTTGAAAAGCACAATTTCTTGATCACTGTGCTCAAGTAGCTAATGCTGAATTTACTGTTGAAGGGTGAAGATCAAGCGGACGTTCGACTGAGCATATACGGATTGTTCATTAAAAGATTTCACTCATTTAATGGTTAGCAAAGTTTAAGCTACAGTTCTTACCACAGCTTTGAGGCACTTGTTCAGTTGGAGTGTGCGACTTGATCTTTTCACCACCGAAGAATCCTTCAAATTCTGTTAAATGACATGACACGAAGATGTGAAAGAAGAAGTACCGACGGGTCCAAGGGCAGAATACAAGCAAGAACTGCAACTGTTGGTTGTCGGTTCAGTGTCTTGCGCCGGCCTGACGAATACTCCCTTTAAGAAATCAGTAGAAATTACTGCTCAGGGCAACGCTTCAACAAAACTGAAACGCACCGCACCGAAAGTAGCCCGTTGATTGAGGGCGTCGTTGTCTTCGTTGGGACCGTTGCCTCGATTTTTGCCTGTCGTCTGGTTGACTGAAGTGTAGAATTCCGATTTAGGTCTTGGCCGTTGATTATTGGCTGCCAGCCGTGAGCTCTCGACCAGATTCACACCTGATTGGCTGAAATCCGTGTTCGCCGCCGTCGGTTGCGACCTCATCGGAAACAGGCGGCCAAGCAGCGTTTTCGTATACTGATACATGCGTGTCGCTTGGTTTTCATTGTTTCTCAATCTCATTGAATTTCTGCCCCATTTGGCCACACCGAACCTTGGCTTAAAAATTCTGCTTCTGCGTAGTGCTGACTACATGACGAAACGCTGAAAGTCTAAAACGCCAATTTATCATTACTACGCACCCTTTCGGTCTGCGACGCTTTTTCTTCTGTCTGATGAGGTTGATTCGCAGGATCCACTGGGGTTGATTCCTCCGCCATTTTCCAATTAAAAAATTTATCACAGCCGCTTCAGTGCCTTTGACCGACCCGTGGTACAGCTAAAAAATATTTACAATATTAAAAACAACTAGGATCTGTTAGAGGTTACTGTTACGTTTCAATATTTAATAATTTCCTATTTCGTTGCTCGTGCAGATTGAAAGCTCAAGAGTCGAGGAACATCACTTTTATTGTAAACACATTCCTCTCTCATTAGTTTATTTTGCGTTTAGCGTGTATAAACGTCTAATGCTCAGTATTTCGCACTTGCGTTGGTGACCATACTGTATGAAGATCTTATTCATGCACAACGCAAAAAACTGGTCAATCAGATTTTTTATCAGTGTCAACGTTTCGCCTCGTGTCTCAATGACCTTCTTCAGGATGGACGTGATTGATCCATAGCTGTTGTAACGACTGAAGTCAGAAGTCGTGTTTTGGACCATGCGTCAGCATAGGTAGTTTTCCAGTAGCATTCTTGACAGGGCTTGTCTAATCCTTTGTCCAGGTTGACGCTGCCGTAAGACTGGATAATTAATATCTGTTTGATACGTCTGTTCAGCCAGTTTCTCTCTTCAATGATGGCTGTGCGATTTGACACTTGGGAACGTGGCCTTTCCCTCATACGTGTTGCGCAATCCCTGGCGGTCTTTTCACATTATTCCTTGACACGGCCTGGGGCTAGGGGATTTGCTACTTTCCCGAATGCTTTGTTGCCGCATCTCGCGCGCGTTCGTCTACGATAATCAATCTCTTCCAGTTTGAGAGGTGGGTCTCTCTTCTTTGAATTTTGGTGTTTCTGGTTTGTTTTGTTAACTAACTCGGAGAATAGCAACTCTTAGGCCAGATTAACACATTTTAAATGGGAAATATTTTGGAAAAACTGGAAAGGTTGGCAGCTGACTGCGAGGTGGTCGCTATGCGTGAGAACGTGTCTAAAACCAAAAACCCCTAGCCTTGTCGATTCTCTGCCAGCTGCGCTCTGCAAATGGATGGAGAAGTAATGAAACGCGCAGAGAGGTTCACGCACATTTGAGTCGTGCTTACTGTTGACGGAAAAGGAGGGAGGGAGAATACCGGCGAATAGGGATGGAAAACGGCGTCTCGGGTGAAGTAACCTAAACTGTTGTTCGTTACGCAGATCTGGGTCTGATGAGGAAGTTGCTTATGTTCAATTCGATTATCATCCCCATGCTCATCCATGGCCATGGGTTGTGCACCATGACTGAAAAACTTTCATCCCAGGGACAAGCGACTGAATAGACTTTCTGAGACGATTCTTTGGCCTCACGAGTGCCAGCAGATTCAACAGTGTAGCTACCTCTCTTAGGGCAGATTTTGCAAATGCCTGCAGAAAGAAAAGTGAAATAACGAGTTCATGCTTTACCTAGCGGCCAAGAATTACTCTAGACACGTGGTTTCACTGACTTTTCCACAGATTGGGATATTTTCTGCCGGATGACGCAGGATCAGGAGACGCTATTTCAAGCTGCAGCGTCTACGACCTTAAAAGGTGAGTGACAATCGAAATTGAATAACTAATCGGTTTATATCTTTAACTTGTCAGAGACGAACCGCATCAGCAGCACAGCATTTGTCTTCAACTTATGAGTAACACGATTTTCAATTATAAATCAAGAAACAAACCACTTTTTGTCCAACAGTGGTGAAGTCAATTTGCTATGGAGTTTGCAGGACCCCTTATGATCGTGACAGAACAGCGCAACACATTGATTTGCCATGATTATCGCAGTGATAAACGAACGCTGGGTGGTAAATATGCGGTTGACTATTTTTTGTGCTTGATCAGAGTTTGAAACGACGTGTTACGTCTTCGGATCGACAACCGGTGTCAGAAGTACACAAAGCAAGAATCTATGAGGTCGAGGTTCCTCGTCGTCGCTATTTCTAACGCAACTAGCAAACAAACAGCTATTGGCTACAGAAAGCCAAACCATTCCCAAAAATAGGTGGTTGCAGTTTCGAGTGTACGGCTTACCGGTTACAGGGCCTGCAGCAGTTATCCTGAAATCGCGCGCGGTGATGATCCGTGGATGATCAGAGGTGGTTCTAATCCGTAAGTGACCGGAAGTTGAGGTACACGCGTTGATGAACGTTGGGTGGTTTCGAAAACACCAGTCAAGCTCAACGACACGGACCGTTGCCGGCTGTCCGAACGTAAGCCAGTCAAGCGATCAAGTCCAGCCATTAATCCAACCGAGCTTCGCGTGATGTCAACCGTGTAAACACGTTGTGAGTCACTAAGCTTTACTTTATAGGCAAGCATAACGTACAAAGCACGTACAGAAGCACGAGAAGCGATCCACCGACAGTGCACGGTAGCCCGAACCCTCAACCTCAGCACTGTGGCTGACCTGTCATCGATAATAACCTCCACCACGGGCATGACCAGCAGCGAATGGACTTCCCATCGTTCTTTGAGAGCGTACTGAACTTCTACGTACTCAAGCGCCTACTTTTGCCGCCCACCTGACATTGTCACGTGAAACGCCGGAAGCGGGTTTAGCACAGCAAATAGAAAATCAACTTTTAAGCAGTAGTTTTAAGTGATGCACGATTAACTGGCTGGCTCCGATGTGTGAATAGAAAAATCATATTCATTCAGCTGACGCTGACTGTCGTTCGTCAGGCATTCTTGTGGATTCAGCCATCTTGCACTTGGAGAAACGGTTGGAAACGAGACGTTGCCTGCCTGACACGGTCGACATTCGATCGACACAAAGGGCTGCTAGCATAAGCGGCAGCGTCGAACGATGTACGTGTCAGCTTTGTGTGTAACGTCGACCGCCAACGGCTCGGCCGTGGCTGAAAGTGGCAAAGCGGTACGGTACAGAGGTTACCGTACAAGATGTTGTCGTGTTCGAACGCTAACAGAAATACGCAATAAATCTGTACTGTAATACACCTTTCTGGAGCTACTACTTGCCGTAATCAACGATTCTTTTCATGATACACTGGTGACTCCTTTAGACTTTGTAAAGATTCGTCTTGATCAAAATCATGCCATTGATACGAGGTCGGTGACGTAATTGTGAGTGTAATAAAACTGACATGAACTACCCTGTCAAAACTCAGCAGTGTGGAAATGACGGCCGGAGATGTTGCGAAAAATTGATTCAGCTGCTTCTGTCATGCATTTATCTTCATTCGTCTGTCGACTGTAACAGATTGTCATGATGAAGAAATTTTCTTTACCGTGTGACTTCAGTTGCCACGTCTGTGAGGGCGAACTGAATTGCATACCCTGACTAGAGTCAATCACTGGACATTTTCTCAGCAGAACAACACATGTAGCTAAAACAGGTCAATTCGCAAACTATGTTTTAATTGATATTACTGACCTACCTGTCTTAATAGCAAAATCTTTCAACGGTGAACTCTTTTGGCCATCTGTCATAGCAGAGGAAAATTTCAGTTCTGAAATAACATATTCTTTGAGTTTTCTGGCAAACATATTAGCGTGGGTTTTGCAAGTTAAGGCAGTACAGGCGACTAGTTTTTGACCTCATCAAATCATCGCCGCAAAGCGATCATGGATTACTGATGATATTCTTCAATCAGCCACAAATAACAATTTAGCGCGCATTGCACTGCCGTATTTTGACTCCCATATGTGGAGCTGTTCAGAGACTTCAACAGCTGCAGGAAGCAGTGATTTAGAACAAGACAAGATCAGAGAGAGATCATATATATGAACTAAATCATAATTACTTCGAAAATCAGTTACGACTAAGGATCATAGAGGTTCACCTTTTACTCTAATTTATATTGAAAATCCTTCGCAATTCAATTCGCTTGAAACTCATTTTTTTAGTTCCTAGTTAAATTACATTTAACAAAATAAATATATCATAGCTGAAAAATAACTATTTTCAGAAAAAGATACCCATGCAAATACACATGACTGCCTACTCAATCGGCTAAGCTGTATCGAGAGCCTGACATTACCTTGCAATACAGTACGTAGAGTCTGCAGTTCCCTCATCGGTAAAGGACCGGAACCGCTTAAAGTTTCAAAGGTTAGTTTTTGCTACAGGACAAGGTGTAATAGCCTCTGGAAACGAATGACGGAATAAAACAAGTTGATGGAGTCACAGACAGACGATGCAATCAGGTTACCTTAATTCTGCATATTAGTCTCCAATATCTTAACAAAAACATCTGGTTTAAAGTTAATTCCAATAAGTTTGACTGTATCAGATAGCTACATACTTTCGAAAATCAGCTCTCAGTTCACTGCAATATCGAAAGTAATAAGAAAATAAAGTAATAATGGAAGAGAAACGCTCAAGTATGCTTCGGAAGTCATTATGTTCTTAGCAATGACGAAAGCAAACTATTTAGCATGAGCTTATGACAGAGAACCAGTGTACTGGTATATCCCCCTATTGCAAAACATGAAGAAATGCGCACATCTAAATGCGAGCAAACAGCGACGTTTCATCAGTCCTGCATCGCAGAAATGCCGAGACAAATATAACTGGATAACAGGCAGATAACTGACGTTCTATTAATAGTTAATTCTAATTTTTTCAAACTATTTTACAGCCCGTCATACATTTCATGGTAGGAGCTTTTTAAACTAATCTAGCCGCAACTTTTGGGCTGTGTAGAGATAGTCTATTTTGTTTATCTGTGCAACTCATACATCTGCAACGATCTAGCACCTGAAATTTGTGAACTATCTGCGAGTAGGTTTAAATCTGGCGTCATTATCCGCCCATTTTTTGAACGAGCTTTGGTTCTGAGGTCGTAGCTTTCCTGATTCGTTTGGAATGTTTCTGGCATTACGGCAATCCTACAACAAAAAAATCGGATTTTCAATGTCGTCGTCGCATCTTGCCGCCATGGCTTAAAAACATAACTTCAAAATGCAAAAGGAAAGTCAGCACCTTGGAACCGGAGCCATGTCGCAAAAAAAACTTGGAGCACAACTGCATATTTGATTCTATTCACAGATGGTATCCATGTGAGACTCAAGGCTGAGAATCCTATTCAGTTTTAACAGTGCTCGCGCATTTCCTAAAACGGGGTTGAACAATCAAATTAAATTAAATGAAAAAATTATTTTAATAAATTAATTTGAAACCATAA